TCTGTTAAAGTAAAAGAATTAGAAGGCTTAACAATTACGTTAGCCTGTCCCACTATTTATAATAAGAGTTAGGAAAACCTTAGGAGACCCTAGGTATTACATAAAAGACCTAAATACCCTTTAACATACTGCTTACGTTATACGAAGCCTGTCTTCAGTTTAGTATGATTACAAACTTAATCGTCAAGATCATGTTAAACTTTGTAAATGAGTGCAGAGTGGGCTTGATCCTCATTACATTTTCGATATATTTCAGTGCATTAATGTGTAGGAATTATGACTGCATGAATGGTGTGCACACGGAGGATATGGAACCTAGCATGCATGTACTTATTGTTACCTTTTCACATTAAGCTATAGCCTAGCAAGATATGGATGCTACGCTATTCGAGTATAATGACACTGAAGAAAGTCTATTCGAGTATAATTTAGGAGTGGTTCAAGTCGTATGGTTCTTTCACTTTTTAAGTGACCCGTTGGACTGAAAAATTCTCTACTCTGCACTTAATCATAAGGAGGCTGTTTACCGTCTTTTCTTTGCTTATATTGATGTTTGGCAGAATTATACCTTTGTGACTCTTAAGTTTGATATGTTATTTGCTGGCCTATGATACTGATTCCTGATCCCTTCTCAGCTTATTAATCGATTTTGGAGGAGCTCTGGTTGACTCCAAATTGAATCTCTGCTCATGGAATGATCTTTTGATCAGAGGCACCGCAGAACCAGAATATCAAGGTGAAAACTTTCCTCAAAAAATATAATCAAGGTGAAAGACTTGGAAGGGGTTAATTGTATTATATACTGTGTGTTTCCAAGAAAGTAATTTTTACTAGGCATTGAGCCTTGGGTATTCCCATTATACCGCAGTAAAAAAAGCGAAGTTTCTCATAGTTCGGACAAGAAAGGGAAATACTGCTAAACTTTGTGAAATACAACTAGTTTTCGTTCCTTTTTTTTTCTAGTGAGTCCTCGAACTTTTAGTTTTGATGCACGGGAATTCTCACTCGATAGAATTAGCCCATTTTGTCATAAACCTTCACACGTCTTGGACGCGGGTTATGTTTTGAGAGGTATTTTTGGTAGCTCACTCTTGAAATGGAAAGAACCCACTTTTCCAAAATGGAAGCAGAAAAGTTATGTTTGTTTTGTGGAAAATTGATCTGATAGTTAGGGGTAGCAACGGGCTGGCCTGTTGATTGAGGAACCAGCCCTTATGACCCACTTGCCTCTGGATATGCAGCTCGACTCGGCCCTGGGCCCGTTAATATATTGGCTGGGCTGCCTGCTTGCCGAGTTTTTCCAGGTTGATCTGCCCTCCAGCTAATGGTCCGGGAGGACCGGGACCATTGCCACCTCTACTGATAGTTAATTATTCTGTGGTATCCAATTAATCCTGTGTTTCTTCTGCACACTTGAAGCGGGTGTCGGTATAGAGCTGCAAGAAACATTTAAAATCCTAATAAATGGGTTCACGCTCCAACACTGAATTGAAAGCAGCTGCAGTTTATTGTTGTTGTTGTTGGCGCAGGTGAAATACTTATTCATCCTCTTCTTTAAACACCTACTCGTTACCCCAATATGTTTGGTACACTATACTCGGAATAAGTGAGCTTGACGAGGGACCACTATTTATGACCTACTCTCAGTTATCATGTTTAGTTTTATCTATTTCAATATATCAATTATGCTACAACTAAAATTTAAATCCACGTATATGATAATAGGAAAGTGCTATGTGTACATAATGATCTACACAAAGTTTCACACCCCTCTCACATGGAGGAGGTTCACACACAATAAAATATTTGTNATAAAATATTTGTGGGCCCCCTCTATGTGAGGGGGGTGTGAAACTTTGTGTACACCACAAGGTGTTCATATAGCATTTTCCATGATAATATGATATGTTTGGTACATTAGACATTTAGACTGGGGATAAACGAGTGCCAAAATTTTAACCGATCATTTAGCCCCTGTTTGAGTGACATTATTTTTTTCATTCCCATTCTTCTATTCATTTTCAATCACACATTCTTCAATAAAATAATATTTTTCATCACATTAATAATTTTTCCTTTTTTTTCCATATATTTCCAATCATATCACTTCAAAAAAAAAAAAATGCACTCTCTCATTTTAATATGCATCAAACGCACTTAATGTCCAATTTCACCTTATTGTGTGTGTATAACGAATGATTTTCGACATACAATATTTCTCGACGTGCTTGCGTATTTCATTTTGGAAAATTCGAGTTATTGATGATTTGTGGTTTTGGACATGTAGCTCGATATATTTAAAACTCGACATTCTCATAGCAACTCAGCTTTGATAGAAACACACTTTTCCCATAGTATGCTTGGTGATTAACCTAAAAGAATTTCCAAGAAATGCGAATTGGTGATGAACACAAACGGGCCGGACCTTGCTCTAGTTCATGATCGTGGGTTGAAGTTTCAATCACAGCGGAGTAAAAAATCACGACTAGAGGTTTTCCTGTCATGGTGGAGATAAAATAGGAATTTTTATGTCTTGTAATTCATTTTATGTTTTTGCTATAAATATTAGTTCAGGGTAGAAATTTTGAAAAGCCAAAAAACTTTTGATTATTACTTCCGTTTCTAGTTAATTTCGACGTTTCCCCAATGTGGATTTTACCTCCTTATAAATGTGTAAATATTATGATAAACAATAACCCTTGAAGTTTTGACAATTGCCGAAAAAAAGTTGTTGTTTTTATTATTATTATTATTATTATTTTTCAATTGATAGACACAACCTATTCAATCCCGTTCTAGCTATTTCACTAGTCCCATGTTTGATTCTCATTTTTTTTAAAATACATTTTTCTATCTTCTTTTCAACCATCCATTCTTCAATAAAATAATATTATACGCAAATTCAAAATGTTTCCTTTTATTTTTTAGTCACGCATTCTCTGTCAATATACTATTTCAAAATGAATTCTTAACCTTTTAATGAGGCTCAAACATGCTCTAGATCTAAAACCTGTTAAATTGTGGTGCCCAATTATTATCATTGTGCGGAGTCCAACTCCCTAATTTTTATTAAAGACAATTTGAAAACTTCATACCTGTAATTTCGATTTTATCCTAATTTTTTTTTAAGAAAAAGAGATCCAAAATTAGGGTTTAGTATTATTTTTAAAAAGAGAAAGGTTAGAGAAAATAGGCACAACAACATAGAACTTCAATAAATTACTTTTTATCACAATGAATTATTGCAGTGAAGAATGAAGACGTAATCTGATATTGAAGCGAAAGTCTATAAATCTTGCGTGTTCTTTTATATCTTTATTTTCTTACTGTAATTTTAGTGCTCTTGGTGGTGTTGAACTAGATTTTTCGATTCTCAAAAAATTTACAAACGATAAGATTTTTCACTTTTTATTACTTCACTTATCTATGTACTTTCCAGTTCCTTCCTTTTACTGAAACAAGAGAGACACGTAATTTACACCTCTTAATTCTTTCACTTTTTCCATTTGCAATTAATTGTTATAAATGTTTTCCCTCACCCACACACAATGAAAAAATTGTTGCTTGGTTGATTTAGGAAACTTTATTGTCTTTGAAAATAAATACTTTTGTACTTCATTGAACATTTGTTATGTATTGTTGAATGTTGATTGAATGCATCAATTTATTTAGGCTGCCACATATATTATAACTTACTTTAAGCATTTGGAAGGAGAAAATATATTTTCTAAGATTGTTATTCGAAACAACCATTAATTTTGTAAACAAATAAATATACACGTTTCTACCAATGTTGTGAACTAGAGTTGTGTGATTGTGGGAAAGAGAGAGTATCAAAGGAAAAGTAATTTGACTAGAAAATAATTGATTTTTCCCGGAGTGGAGATTGGGAATAATAACTACTTACAAAACTTAGACTTGTTAAACCGTCAATTCATAACCTTTCGAACTCAACCAACTTCTATCAATCTATCTTGATTTTAACTTCAAATTCATATTCATTTATCATCTTAAATGAAGCACGAGACCAAGAAGAATTATCACCATACATGGCTTTAATATGGTAATACTTATTAATTGTGGAAGATATGAACATGCCATAATTTAGAATGGGAGGAGTGTTAGTTGTCAACACAACACAACATGTGATCACTTCTGCTGAAGTTCACTAATTCCCCTTCCATTCCTCCTTTTCTCCTCTTCAGTCACAAGAGCAATAATTAACCCTCCATCTACTTTTTGTAGTATTTATTACTACCCTGACTCGAATTTACAGTTCTTCAGAAAACATGAATGGCTTGTCCTGAACTAATCCCAATTGCATACAATTTATTGTTCAAGAACCCACGGTCATCAGACTGTAATTAATATTTGGACTTCTACCAGAAAAAATGGCACCAATATCTTCTTGGACTGTGTGGAATGTAATAATAGCATATCTTTTTGGGTTTCATTTTCTTCTCTTAAAATTTATTTTTCAAAGTCAAATATTAATTTTAACTACATATTACGTAAGATCTTCAAGTAATACCTCTTATCAACCACTAATTTTTTGAAATGTCGAATTTTATTAAAACAAAATGAATACCAAACCAAGGCATAGTGTAGACTTTTTCCCACCACAAGGGATTGGCCTAGTATATATTCCTATTATGAAAGGACTTTCTTCGAGGTTCGTTTTGACAGTTTTGTGGGTTTGAGTAGATAAATACTTGAGTAGGATGATCCTGTATGCACATGTGGTATGACCGCTCACTCAAATCACGGCATCTCGAATAAATCTTTGTTATAGCGAAGAAATACGACTGTAGACATAATCAAACCACTATAAATATGTGTATTCTTTTTCGTGTTTAACAGTTCATATGACTTACAGTTTCGCCATTAAGAAGAGATAAGAGCTTATCCTTGAGCTCGAAAAATCAACCTAATATTACTACTATGTATAAAGGATTTTTTAGAGTCAATTTTGAGAGTGGAAAGATGTGAGAAAAATTGTATATAATAACATAACTGAACCATTATGAATCTGTGTATTTCTTTTGCATGTTTTCATTTGATTTAATATTTCTCTCGTAAACAAGGATCAGGGTTTAATTTGTTAAGATAATTGGTGTATATTTTCATCTTTATTTGTTGTTGGATTTTATCCTTTAACATAATGCATATGTAATACGCCTCTCTCTAGATTTAGCTTATTCTGGCCTTAAAGATTAATATGCTTGCAATTCAAGATAGTATTAATTGATACCAGGAAGATTAATCCAGTGTGTGTGCGCGCGATAGTATTAATTGATACCAGGAAGATTAATCCAGTGTGTGCGCGCGCGCTCCCTTCGAAGTTAGGTAGTTGCATGAATCCAGTGTGTGCGCGCGCGCTCCCTTCGAAGTTAGGTATTTGCATGATGAATGCAGAAGATTTTATATACATACATGGGAAACCTCTTGACAACCCCAAGTTACAATAAATTCAGATTTTAATGGTTTTTAATGCAGTGTGAAAGAGTTGGATTTAGGCATTAAAGTGATATCTACTTGTCACCTTTAATGCTTGGCCTGCCCCACTTTTAATGTGTGTGATGAAATCCAATTTAAGGTCGACTCGACAGACGCTATCTTGCATGAATTCTTGCAAATTAAATTTAAAAAAAAACCCATGAATTTGTAATATAAATCCTTTCTTCTCTCAATTTTTATTTTCAGTTTCGATTCGATGGAATTCCCAGAACTCTCTTTGGCTCCCAATTGTGAATCTTTTGATCCATCTGATGCAAGTCTTCCTATGAAGAGGAAATGGATGAATACAGAATCTCCTAGTGTTGATCTTCAGCTCAAAGACCCCCTTCCCTTGGATTGGGAGCAATGCCTTGATCTTGAAGTATAACTCTCTCTCTCTCGTGTGTTTTTGTATATTATGTAAGTATGTGCGTATGTATGTATAATGTTGGACTATGTTGAAACTCCTAAAAAAGTTTCGGAGGCAAATTTTTGTTTATGACAGACATGATGTTGCCTTTTACAATTTTTTTGACATCTCCTTCGACTTGGTGCGGCAAAATTGACATAGTTCTCACATTAAGGGTCTATTTTTGCTCATTTTAGGCTTCAATCATGCTATATGTACATCATATTTAACATCATTGTTTACATTGTGTCACATGGCAACACACTATTTGTCAGTTTAAAAAAAAAAAAAAATCGTTTTCCCGCCCATTCCTTTTTGAAAACACGAAGGATATTAAACAAGATGTAAACCATGGAATGTACATTTAGCATTATTCTTTAGGATTATGGTTAATACCTTAAATCCATATCATTTATGTTCTGTTATCGTGTCAGTCTACATCTTATTTGACATGCTATTTATAATTAATAACATTTTATGAAATCCATGATGAAGAATCTTATATTTTTCGTGTTTGCAGTCGGGAAGAATGTATTATCTAAACCGGAAAACATCGAGAAAAACGTGGAGCTGGCCGAAAGAACAGAAGATTGATCTCGAACTGAACATTTCAAGCTGCAATGAGAAACATAATAATTGGGGCTCAGATAATCATCAAGAAATGATCAATAAACAGCAGCATTCATCAAACAGCAGCAGCAGCATGATAGCTTTAGTTTGTTCAAATTGTCATCTCCTTGTAATACTTTCAAGGACTTCACCTTCCTGTCCTAACTGCAAGTATGTTCACTCTATTGCAACATCACCACAAGCTCAGCCCGACTCGTCCTTTTCATCGTTGTCCTATCACAACTTAAGCCTTTGAACAACATATATATGTATCCTGTAAGGTGTTGCCAAATAAATTGTGCTGTGAAATACTTGGTAGATTAAGCATAACTTTGGTATGTTGGCAGTATTATATTTCATTTTCATGCTGATGAAATGGTAAATATTTTGCAAACTAAGTATCTTTTTTAAACTTCTTATCATTGATTTTTATGGGACATCTGTTGTTATATCACTGATAGTCCAAGAGAGAAAATTACACGACTAACTTGATCAGTATAATGACGTTGACAGCAGTAAATTCAAATGAAAAAAATAAAAAGTTAAAATCTTTTTGCTCTACACAATATTTTCTATATCCACCTACCAAAATATGCAGGAACTTGTTAATGGGAAGACTCTGTTCGGATACAATTTATGAGTTTCAAGTACACATTCATATTTATCTGCACCTTACACTAAAACTCTTTTCCTCCCCCTTTTATTTCTTTATCAAATATGTTCTTACTGCTTTACCACAACTATCAAAAATAATCTACCTGTTTTGCTTTTGAGGGAAATATTTGACAACTAAACTATATTACTTTATAATATTTTGTGCAAAATATTAGATTTTCATCTAGTAGATTTTGAACCGTGAGGCAAGTGAAATCAAGTTCAGAATAAGAATATGAAAACTTTGGCCCAAATGGGTTTTGAAGCCCAAGGAGCGGAGCCTTGTTTCCTAAGTCAAATTAAAGAGGGGTCATTCTCTATTCATAAATCAAGCAACAAATTGAGAGTTCTTTTGTTTTCGGATGCAAGTGGTACATATCTCGAGAGGATTGGACTATACTTGACAATATGAAAGAAATAGAAGTTGAATTTTTTTATTGTATCGTCTAATCCGGTCTAGTGGTGCACATCAAGCTCGCATTCCTTCGACACTGTATTAGAAAGAAATGGAAAGCGAGAAAAAAAAATCATTGATTTTTTCTATTTAGTCCCTGTTTGGTCCACATTATTTTTTCAACCACATAGTCTTCTACTCATTTTCAACTACACATTCTTCAATAAAATAATATTTTTCATCACATCAATAACTTTTCTTTCTTTTTCAACCACATATTCCCCATCATATATCAAAAACAAAAATGTATTCTTGACTAAAAAATGTACACCAAACAGGGGCTTAATATATTATGTCGTCCATCTTACTAGATAAACACTTGGGGCTATATGAATTTGCCCCAAATCTTTCTCTCCCCCGTGCTCCCCTCCAAAACAAATATAAAGCAATATATATGCTATACTATCCAGTCCATCATACGAAACAAGCACTTAGTGCCAAGTTTGCCTCTAATCTTTCTCTTTCCCATGCCCATTTCTCCTCCTCAAAATTATTGTACTTATTTCGTGATTAATCATTTCGCATTTTCATACAACATATTAATGATATTTTACCACGAAAGATCTTTATATCAATGATTGAGGTTTATTGTAAGCGTATAGGGAAAAGCAAAAAGAGAGACCCTTCGTACAGTAGTGAAATAATTTGATCATTAGGTAATTCCACGTGGGATCCAATTAGGAAACATAAAAAGGTCGTAAATAATTTGATCATTAGGTAATCTATGTTGAAAAAGAGGGTCTCAAAACCCCCATTTCAACGGATGAAAGGATTGATGTTTAGCAAATTACACTTAGTTAAAAATAATGGCTTATCGCAAGCAAGTACCATGGCATTTTCTAATATTGCAGCTGAGAATTGTCCAACAGAATGGGACCACCTGTTGAAACTTTTGATTATTCACCTTTTCTTAGACAAAATGAATAAAAAATTGTATATTCTCCTTTGTTGGATGACTTGAGGAATTTAATAAATTTCTCTTCAAATTACACGTCATTGGAGGTCAAAAACAGTCTTTTAAATATGATTAAAATAGAGTTTTGACATACTTAGCTTTCGAAATGACTGTAGAATGCCAAAAAACATGTTTTTATTTTCAATTTTGGCATTCTATCAAGCTGTAAAGTACACTTGGATTTTCCAAGAAGTATTGAGAGTGCCTTAACTTGGTCTAAAATTGTGAAGAAAACTGAA